TTTTTTTTGGCAGAGATTGAGAACCCAGCTCGCGCTTGGGTTTGTGACGAACCCAGGCGCAAGCTGGGTTCGTTGCCAACCCAGTCTTGCGAGCTGGGTTCATCCTGGGTTCGCGAAGAAGATGAGGATAGAAATGGGAAATGAAAAGATAAAGGGAAACAATGATTTTTTTCTTTTAATTATTTTAATTATTTTAGGACTTATTGATTACATGAAAAATAAATCTGGTTGCCAACTTATCAATTTTATCACGTGTAATCCCATGTCACCATTAAAAAGAAAAAAAAAAAAAGACATTTAACGGATAATTGTGCCATGCTGTCACTTAACTGACAGAAGAACTAAAAAGATGCTGGATTTCAAACAGTAAGGATCAAAAATGGGATTTTTTCGATATAGGGATTAAAAAAGAGCTTTTTCCTATAGTAGAGGGACCAAAAAAGGTATTTAACCTTTAAATTATAAATTATTTTTTTCCTTTAAACAGCTATATATTTGCTTATTAATAGTTGTATCCCTTGAAATTATTACGTGTTGGACTATTATCCCAATAATATTACGGGAACCTCAATAATTTGTAGAGTGAGCTGGATCCCGACATCCCGATCCCAATTAAGTGGGGTTCGAAAGCCTCGTATCCCGCTGCAAAGGAACTTGGTGCTTTGCTTGTCCGAGTACAGGCTGTCCGGCGGAGTTTAAACTTTTTTTTTTAGTTTTTTTTCAGCAGTGAAATATGTATATAAGTAAATACCAATTTTTAATCTCTAAATTTTTAGTTGTGAAATGTTTTAGTCATTAAATTATTTTTTATATTTTTTAGTTCTTAAATTATAAAAAATACATAATTTTTATTGTTTTCTAAGTAAACATGTCTATTTATGCATACTTTTAATATCTTAATTTATAATATATATGTATATTTTTAACTTATAAACTTATAAATTTAAAAATTAAAAATATACATATATAAATAAATTTAATAAATTAACTCAAAATTTTTTTTAAAAAAATATTATGTCATCATTGCCTGCTAGTGTACAACTGCCAAAAAAGGAAAAGCTACCAGTCAACGAAAAACTATCGGTCAACTAAGATTGAATAGCATAAAAAAAAAAAAACTAAGATCGAAAGGAATAAAGAAAGAATCTACAAGTCAATTTAATCTGGTAGGTAAGTACATCAATAATATTTTTTAAATAATTATTAATAT